ATTTTTCCCCTGAACATCGACCTCTTCTAACTGTCCTTAGGAAAGTAAAAAGAGGTCGACTTCAGTAATTGCTTGAATTCGATTTAACAGTAGATATTATCCAAATGAGAGGTCGCAATAACTTTATTATTCGAACTCACTGTGTATGGGGGCGTCAGCAACAGCTACACCGGTATATTGTACAATAATTTCATTGTCATACGCGAATATTTAGTGCGTAGAAGATGATACAAAACGCAAAAAATGCGCAATACCCAAGTGAGCCGGAACTGATTGTACTTCGTCACATTGTCTCCTGCCCTGTGTTTTCCCTTAAATTAAAAATATATAGTGTAGACCCATTTGTCGCTATGATTATTGACCTTGCCAATATCAAGCACTCGCGTATGATCCTCAATAGTTTAGCTTCCAGTGTCATCAATATTCATGTATTTGTGAACTATTATGTGCGTTACAACTGTCATTCTACCCCACAATTCAACAGCCTTGTATAATGTAAGGCCCTGCTATTCAAAAGGGTGTATATCCTTTGCTTCTCTTACGATTTACTCTTCGCCATCCCAATTACATTATGCATCACAATTCTTGGTAAATCACTTCCTACATCTTGCACTTTAAGCAGAGTCATGTTGACAATCGTTGCTTATCAAGCCCGCTATGCTTATGTCATTCGCTTCTGCTGGAGTGATTTTCAGGGTTGTAACGCTTGAAGCCAGCATTGACTGCCTCAAGTTCGAAATATCCCAGAGGTTCTTTGAGAAGACAATACATTTAAAAGTACCACCGTCTTATATTTGAATGATATAAAACACAATTGGTTAATCTACGTCTTTACTTTGCCTTGTGCAATTGTTACGTTTGAGAGAAATATTTTAATTTTTTTCAAATTTCATTAACCACCTTGGCAGTAAAACAACGATATTCTGCTGTCTAAATCATGTAAAAAAATGTCAGTCATCTAGCGCTGGAATGTGTTGATTCTTCTGGTATGTGAGTTTTTTTGCAGCAGTAGACATATTTGTGGTACTGCTGTTCTCTAAACCCTTCCATTTTGGAATAAAATCAGATAATACCCTAACGTCAGTTTTCTCGCGCAATACGATTGTCTGAATAAAGGACGTTTTCTGCTGCGAGGGACAATTCTTCCTGAAATTTTGAACACGGAATGGGTCGCAGACACTGGTTTGTATAAATATACATACAGTACGCAACAAGTAAAATTGTGCTTTCGAAAAAACAGTATATGAGCAGTCGTTAAAAGCATGCCACCCGCCAATCAGAGTCTTTGCTTTTCGCCATTTATCTAATTAATAGACCATTTTCTATATGTTGCAGTGTAACATCGCAAAAATGTCCACATATTTTGGAACCATTCAATATAGTTAAATCGTAGATACTATCTAAAATCCCACGTCGACTGCCAATTTTCTGCCGCTGCGATAGGTCGGATTTTCTGTGCGTCTGCGAGCACTGGTCATGTGGATTCTGGTACATCGGCTGGTTTTTATCGTTGCGTTATTAAATCTACTCTTTAATAAATGCATGAAATTGAGGAAGCTGTTTTGGGGCTTAACGTTGTAGATAGGGTCCAAAATTATATCGGAACATTTTAAATAGTAAACGTCTACTGCAGCGGAACAACTCAACAAAAAATCCAAAATATGAAGTTCATATCATCGTTTCGCAAATAACAATTTTCTTTCGAATAATGCTATGATACAAATTTTCAACGATTTATTTTACAGACAGCTCTCATAAAATCTTAATGCACAGTCACTTATTTAGAGATCTCTACAAAAAATAATGGAAAAAAAGCAATATTTCACATATTTTTTGATTTTTGAAGGAAATAAATTCTTTTCTTCTGCATGCGTTTTGAAAAAAACTGTTTCATACGTGAGCCCTCTGGTGGAATTTATATTCTTGCTTTTTTTATAAACAAAAAGTCTAGTTATAAGGGATGACTGCTCGTGTTTTGATGTTTATGGATAAAATGCCACATATTTAGGTAAAAATCCGACATTTATATAATGGTTTCTTATAGAATTGAGGGATTCTGTGTTGCAGAAATTGACTTTGAAGTAATAATATTCATCGAAACACAGAATCAGAGCATAGTTTTTTAAATCCCTTGAGCTAACTTTGTAAGACTAAATTCTTTCGATAACAAGGAAAAAATGCGTACGATAAAATAGGAAGTCTACGAAACGAGATTGAATAAGTGTAGGGAAGAGCCTACCAATAGTCCTTACTTTGAAATCGAAAACACAACCTCATAATAAAATCAGTAGCTCTTTCCGAGAGCTCCTGAATTAAGAACATTCTGTTGGCAATTATCACGTATATTCCGATTGCAAAGTAAATTCTGCCGCATATTTGATCAATTCCTGTATTTTTAACGTAAGCATACATCCTGACTTCGAAATCCTTCTTATTAGGTTTCTGTTCACGCATTTTGAATTACTTTTTTTCGAATTTTGGTGTGATTCGTGATCTTGCGTTTACTAGCGTACATTTTACTTACTTCGCTGGCTGACAGTGATGCCTTTTTACATACGTTTTTCATTGTTTATCAGTCAATTCATAAGTGCCAATTCCGCATACTTCGTCCAAAAAAATAAGTTATCGGTTTTCGATAAAATTAGTCTATTTTGTAATAATCTGTCCTTTTTTCTACCAACAAGGCCTGTTTTGTCGTATTAGTTAAAACATAGTTGATGTTCCCGGTTCTGCAAACAGCCTCTACTGCATTGCTTGCAGGTTTAACTGCAAGACATAACATATGTCTAATGTACTAGAGAACCAAATGTCCCTTCATGCCTTGAGGCCGCATATAGATTTTTCGCGGGCAGTCTTACAGCGACTTGTTGTAAATGCGGGAATATGTTACCAACAAATATAAGGGAGACTAGGATAACCATTTCTGACCCATAACACCGCGTCCTCCAGACCTGAATGGCCTGATTGAAGTAAACACTCCTCTTAAGTGACTGATGATATCTTACTAACCAGAAAAAATCATATCAGTCTTTTGTGTTTTTTTTCGGTATCTCCTATATATCTTACTATCTGCCGTTGTACTTGATCAACTCGACCCAGGAGCGGAATGCGATACTATCAGCTGTTAATGTATACCTGTAATAGCAGTAATGCAGTAAAAGATGTTATGCATAATTTACCGAGCAATGAATATGAAGACTCCGCCACCGACGAAAGCAGGGCACACTAATTGATTGGTAAATTATGTTGACGAAGCAATCATTCACCAATTTTTCCTTCTTTTAGTAGCACATAATGCCTTTGATCTTCCTCTAAATAGTCAAGCTTTACTTGTTTTGACAACGGCAACGACCTTTCGAATATTACCCTCCAATTGTTCATTTGCAAAACTGACAGAATTTTACAAAAGCAAATGCCGGAATAAAAATCCGGTAGTGCATGTTGCATACTGTGAAAATCAGCAAAGGTCAAATATTCCCACGTCATCATACTGACAAGAATGTTAACTCCAATTCTGAACCTAACTCAACTCTTTGCTTAATCCATATTCAAAGCTTAATCCTATCCTCAACCGTTGAAAGTTAAGTGCATTTTACGAGCCGCTTTTCATCTCAAAGGAATTACAAGAAACAAATCAGAACGTTTAGTATATATCGTTACTCGTGCTTTTCATTCATTTCTACAATTTAGTTTCTGAATGAGGGGCATATCGTTTCAGCAAGTAAAAAAAGTTGTGGGATTTATCACGTCCTCATAATTAGATAAGTGAAACTCTCAAGGCGTTATTTTTTTAATGCCGCTGAAAACATAAGGAGGAAAGTAGAAAAGACAAAAAGAAAACATGTTAGATCATGATGTCATTTCTCACAAGCATACTTTACTTTCCTTTTACAAACTTTACTTTAAACACATTCAAAAACACGTGGGTAGTAGATTAGGTCCCTTAAATAAATAGCAGTGTGTTCATCCATTGACAAGGAAAAGAGTTAAAAAACAGGAACACAAATCACGATGTGAAAGATATTCAGCAGAGATTCATTCAAATATTTTACATAATTTTGGCATCATATGCTACGAGCAAGGCAGTCAAACCACGAGTGCACTTATTCTAATGTTCTCGTTATTGTCGCTTATTCCACTCGTTATCTACCAAATGACAGTCGGTGATTACTTTGAGTCGATTTCTGAAGGTGGTAATCACATGTAGATACGGCCCACTGAAAAATACCCAAAATACCTTCCATAACACACAACCCAATCGCCACTTGACAACACTTTCTAGACATCGAATGGAATGGAATGGACTGCTTCGCATCCGTCAAAGCCTTATGTACTTCCAAGCGTTATTTAAACATACAACTTGTCAGCCTCGATGAAGTACGATGCTGAGGGACTTATTCCATTGAAAAACTATCCAATGGCCGACCTCAAGCAAACTTTATGCGTAGAAGACAGAAAAGAAATTACCTGACGTATAGGTTGTCAGCACCATAAAATGGGATTACGTTCATGCAAGGGCGGGTCATTTTACGAAGCTATGATCCCCTGATATTGTCTCTTTATGGATAAGTAATTTATATAAAAATGATTTTAATCTTCTTACCGCAGTGTCGTGGGTTTGTTTTAGTTTTGGAATCATTGACCTACAGCAGGAATGCCTTTTGACTGAAGGTGATGAGGCATTTTATACCTAAGTTTTTTACTTCTGCTCAAGGGACGATAGGAGACACTTTTTCTAACGCATATGAATAGTTATGAGTTACAAATTCTTTCTGGACAATTATTTACAGCCTACGTGAATGCCCCGTTTTGTAACGTAACCGAGTTGATAGGTTATTCTGGGACATGGCATAATCTTTTTGTTTTTTGAGGAACAAATAAGGCATTCCTTTCAAAATGTAAGTTTTAATTTGAATGCGGACAATGGGAGTTTGCGTCCGTACGTTGATTTTGAACTAGTATGTACTTAACACCAACGAATAGTAAACACTTTTTGTCTAATGGTAGGTCTAGTAGAGAGTCCGTTAAACGATTGCCCTAAATGTTTAAAAGCATAATTATAGGTAAAGATAAACGTGAATATGACCGAAGGATTAAACCTGTGTTCTTAACATTTTATTAGGTGATAGCCGCCGAAGGCGAGCAAAAGGCCTCACAGGCCCTAAAGGAAGCAGCTGACGTCATCAATGAGTCACCATTCGCCATCCAATTAAGGTACCTACAGACGCTCAGTACCATTTCAGCAGAAAAGAATTCTACTATCATATTTCCACTGCCCGTGGACCTTCTGACTCACTTTATGCGTAAATCGTCCTGCAGTGCTAACAGCACCGTAGATTTCAACTCGAGAGGGACCAGTGTCGACGGAAATCAGGTATACCACGCGACAGAGCCTAGCGACGATACCATGCCTCACTTCATGTCGGAGGCGCCGTTGCAGCCGACACCAGCACGGCCAGTCGTGTCCCCCCCTCTGCATAATCAACAGGCGCGAGGAGCTCGGGATCCAACCCAAAATCAGCCACCAACATCCGCACCACCACAACCCCCATCCCTGCATCGTACAAATGATTCCTTTATATAGGCGGCCGTTCCTCAGGCCGCACTGGGTAATGGCTAAGAGGAAGTGAGAGACCACAGATATCAACTGTTATTGAACAGTATCGACCAGGTGTCAAACCTATGACAAACAAGCCTAGATCCCCCGTACTTCCAAGCAATAGCGTTCCCCTCTACCTCGGCATACCTTCAGTAATACTGATGGACACCACTCACGACCAGTTTTTTTGACATTTTTACATTCTTCCGTACAATTTGCCCTGTTCTGCGATATGCCGAGGACCAATAAAAATCGTTACTCGACCCTATTCAGCACCCGGAAAGTAGTCACACCATCAAGTCTTTGCACCTACGTCCTCCGACCACATTGCACAGTAATATTCTCGATTGCGTTCCGGACAAGCGAACGTCAGCCAATGCAATAAATAAACGCTTCGTTGCGTCTTCTGGATTTCCCCATAAATTGTTCGATATACTATGTAGATAAATGTACTTCCACACCAATGAGATAGCCTATTTCTCTTGAAAAACAGGGCGTCTCCACAGATTTGTTTACCTTTCATCTTAAATTCAACAAATGTCTAGAGTCCATTTATGCGAAATTTAAACTTTTGGATTGATAAGAAATCGCTGCTTACTTATGTACTTCATACGTGTATATTCCCTGTGCTTATGCCTGCACTTACTTTACTATTAACCTCAAGCGTAATTTGCGACTGGTCTTTGCTTTTCTCTCGATTTTGGACGGCAAGCGGTTGCCTCTCTCTGGCACTGAGAGGGTAGAGGAATCAAAACTGCCTCGTTAAGAACTGTCATGGAAGGCTGAGACGAAATAACCGACTTATTGGCACCTGTTTTTTGTAGATGGAATGAAAGATACAAGCGCATGCGTGGGTGGGTGGGCGAACTAATGAAATCCGCGGTTTTTTTATAAGAAGATCTCTGTTAGGCAAACGCAGCTCACTTTGCATTCCCGAAGGTCTCACAGCGGTAAAGTAATGGTGGTTCTTCAAAATAAGGCATACTGTGGTTTATAAAAAAATATTACATTAGTAAGAAATATCAGCTTTTTTTAATGGCGGGAAATTCTGCCAAAAGTGAAAATCGGGCGCACTGGGTAAACTTAAGCTTTAAATTTAGAGTAAGCCTGTTCCTGCAAAACCACGAGTGAATAAACCAACGCAGGCACAATTTCGTTGGTAAATAATTGTTTTGTAAAACTTTCGGATGTACCCTCTTCCGTATTACGCGCAATGTAACGTCAGTGACAAACATATGTACGTGGAATCTTCAGGTGCAATCGTAAACGTAGCATTTTATGCAAACTAAGAGAAATTTCGTACCTTCACATTTTGTAATTATTTTTCGATCGTGGTTATGACGAGCTTCAGTTCATCCATCAAATGGTGATTAACACTTTCAGAATTTCAGGGGTACAGTCGATGGTTCATAAATAACGCGTAAGTTTCAAGGACAGGCCTCCTTTGGGAAAATGAGTAAAGTTATTCAGTAAATGTTCGGTATTGGATCCCCAGATCGTCGTCAGACTTGAGAAAAATATGCAAAGAACAGTTAATATTTCAAAGTGCTGATACAGTTATATAGTCATCTAGTCTGGGCGCTAATTGTTAGTTTCAGTCTGTGTCACATCGTGGTGAACATAGTTAGCAGTTGAGAAGAAGAACACGCGATCGCTGGAACAATACGATTATTCACCTGACGTTTCGACATCCGTCGCGGATTCATCATTAGACACACGAGTAGGAAACAGTAAGAGACCCGTTTCTGCTATAATTAGCAGTCGCAACTAGTCGCAACGACTAGTTGGCAACTGTAATTTTAGTCTGTCCGGGATCAGTCCAGGTCATCCGGTGTGAGCGCTTATTGCGGTTCATGTTTGTCCATACTTGTCGGTTGTAGTCTCTTCCACCTTTCTTTGAGGTTTTTGTACAATCCAGCCAACTCGATACGCCGGTTGATGCATGAATCATTGAATTGCATGGCCTTAAGAAATTCTCGGCCTTTTTCGGAGGGGCAAATTCCGACGATTTGTTTTATTCCAAAGCCGGATGGTTTTGTTCCGTCTTGTCCCATTCAAAGGTATGTCCTATGTCAAGGCAATGCATAGCCACTTCGGACAAATGGTCACGTCTCTTCATTGTCAATTGGTGCTTGTGGATGCATATGTAGACGGATCTTCCTGTTTGGCCAAAATATACCGTATACGTTATATTGGATGGGGTTTACAAACACCTCAAAGAAAGGTGGAAGAGACTACAGCCGACAACTATTGACCACCGTGAACCACAATTAGCGCTCACACCGGATGACCTAGACTGACAACGAGCCGACTCAAATAACAGTTGCCAATTGGCCATTACGCAATTGCGACTGGTAATTATGTCCACCACGATGTGATGCAAATTGCAACTACCAATTAGTGCCCAGACTAGATGACTATATAACTGTATCAGCACTTTGAAATTTTAACTTTTCTTTGCATATGTTTTTCAAGTCTGACGACAACCTGGGGATCCACTGTGGAAAACTAACTGAACAAATTTACTCATTTTCTCAAAGGACGCCTTACGTTGAAAGTACATCTCTTGGGATGCCTGCCTTCCAGTTTATACGAACGGATGATGTTCGACGTGCTCATCAAAACCACCAAAATGAGCCATTTCTCAAACGCATTTACATAAATAGTGAGAATTTGAGCATAATTTAGAAGGCATCTGTCTGTTTGAGTCATGATTTTAGAATAAATCAAACCTTTTAACTCATCCCTCAGAAAAATGAACAACTGCAAAACACTTCAGACACTAATATGCCTGATATCTATTCAAGGGGCCATTTTGACAAGTAAGTACTTTAAATACGACTCTAACTGAAAATTTCGGCGTCAGCTGTCTGCTTAATTAACCTTTCTTGAAGAGTAACTCAAGATAAACTGGTAATATGCCACTAATATTTTGATTTTCAGCAGCATCATGAATAAATCGAATGCTGAAAATGAAGGAACTCACTTTTTGTGAAAACTGGAGCAACTTTCTAAGATTGCAAACGCACAACGGAGTGACAGAATATACGATATACGAAACGATATATATACTACGATTATGCAAGAACTGAGAATCTTCTGCCCGTTCCGTGTTAAGCTTCCCTATTCGTTCATACTGAACTGTAGGTAGAAAATGGTTGGACATCCTTCAAACACCGCCTTACAGAGGAAACTGACGACATGTCTCGAGTGCTTATGTACACGACAGTTCCCCCGTCGATTTCAACGATGGGCACCGCGTGCTCTAACA